TTCTAGAGAGAGAAAGGGAGGAAGATATAGATAAAGCCAGAGAGATAAAGACAGAGAAAGACAGAAAGAGAGAGTGAGGGAAAGAGAGTGAGGAAGTGGATGCATTAGAGTGTTGGCAAAATTAAGAATTGTTTGATTGTACTTCTGATGATCGCCTTCGAACGAACGATGCACATCCAGTATTCGTTGTACACAGTTTGGTTGTGCAAAAGGAATTTAAATTTTACCGCAAAACAGTATTCGAGGAAAGTTTACTTTTTGAGTAGAGAATATCTTGACATGTATTACTTTTACATAAGGTTTGTAATACGATAATTCTTTTTATAACCTCCATTAATTAAATTATCGGTGGAGTCTTAAATGACACAGCAGAGTATGTACTATTTCCCTACGGACCCTAGATGGAATTTTTAACCTGTTTCCTATGATTTTCATGCTAAAAAACAATCTAATAATGGGTTTTTTCTTACTATATGTATATTATAGTCGTTCTTCCCTTAATTGTCGGTGCAATTGTACCAGTGATTATTGATTGCTACAGCCTACACCATTTGAACTAAAATTTATGTAGAGGCTTGTAGCACCTAGAAGAGCTTCAGATATACCCAGCCTTTATTATACCCTTCGTTATTTTCTAAATCGAACTAAACTTGTAGGTCCATCTGTTCGCCTTATGCCTGTCCATGTACTCTTGCGCTCAGCCTACAAGTCCCAATTTTTAAGATATTTGGATAAAATTTTGTACATAAATATGCTTTGACCCGACGGCAAACGCTACTTCGGGTCGGTCTACTTTTTCGATCCCTCCATATATAACGCTCTATTTTGGAATGTCGTTATATGAAAAAGAAAAATAATAGCAATTTTCATATCTTTTGACAAAACTCGTGTTTCGGCATTGGTGCGAAGACTTTAGATTGGCTGGGGCAAAAACTAATTATTCTTATGGTAAAAAGGTTTCATTTTCAATATTTCATGGTGAAAATGGGTTCACAATAGTAAATTGACAAAGAAATCAACCTTAGTAAATTTGGATCACGTAGGTCTATTTTTCGTATACCACCAGGCCAAAAAGGTCTATTTACCAATGTTTTATGATGACAATTTTTAGCAGCAACTTAGCAAAAAAAATAAACAATGCTCAATTTAGGTCATATAGATCTACCCTTTCTCGGGATAGATAATCTAAGTTCTAGTTTTTTATTCCGGAAACTGAAAAATAACAAAATTTTTAGGAAGTAAACTAAGGTTGCTAAATTTGGATCATGTCATGTGATATTTTGGCCATCCTCCAATAGGCGGGTTTTTATGAAAGGTATACTTTTGCATGAAAATTATGTGTAATTTTTAAAATTTACTTTAGCGGTGGTTTCGCCGTCTTAGAGCAGCTCGTAATGCTGTATGCCTGTCTTACTTTCCTAAAAGGACTGTCAAGGATATTTACCTTTAGCGATGATGTTGAAAACCTGAGCTCTACAGTGGTTTTTTGCACTTCCGATAGTCCAAGCTTCTTCTTCCAAGCACTTTGATTTGAAGTAAGGAGGAAACGCAGCTTTTCCCACGCTCAGAATTTCTTCGCACAAAATTTAGCATATATTCAAAGCTTCCAAGTTCGATTGGATAATTTAAATCATTGCGTGAAGGGGAAAAACAATGCTTTTATATAAAAAAGTCGCAGTTTGATATATGGTAACGTTTTCACTTAGAACTAATTGGTAATGAATTGTATGTGTAGAGTTTCTGTTATATGTATTTCATATGCAGGAGAATGTTCTCTTCCGTACGTTATATGGGGCAGAAGTGATTAGTGCACCGACAATCACAGAAACTGAGTGAAATAATTGGAGGAATCAAGTCAAACGTCAAGCCAAGTCAAACCCGGCTTGAATGTACTCTATTAAAAACTGATATTATAAAAATTATAAATTATTTTAGAGATTTTGTGGGCGTATTAATTAATTACACTATAGTAAACCTCTTATTATTATTATTATTTACAAAATTTTTTAGTGCGATATCTTTTAGTTAGTTAAGCGTCTTTCGTTATTTTGGATGGTTTGTAGGGGGATCAGCTTCTCTTTCCATCCGGAGTTTCAAGTGGTCGTGGTGTGCTTTTCGCTTAGACGATGACGTTTTTCAGAGACCGCAAGTAAGAGTTTTACGCCGAATGTAAGTATCGTTGCGAACCGATCACAATGAGCTTAAAGTGCCTTTTATGGTGATCTTTATATATATAAATACATATATATATATAAATATATAAAAGACGCCTAAAATAGATGTTATTTACAGCGAATAAGGTGAATTTGCCGAATTTAACGTGAGGTTAATGTGAGTAATAGTTAATATAAAGAGGCTAAAACACAAGCACAAGAAGAAGGCAATGAAAAATGATTTCATAGCAGTTGACAGTAATGTGTATACAAAAATTTCTCCAGCAAGTTTACAATGAGCAAAGATCCTTTGGAAATTGCTTGCGAAAACACCTTAGGAAATCCGTGTTGCACGACTTTACAAGATAAAAAAAAAATTTCGAAAAAATATTAATGCCACAGTAAAATAATGAAACGTTTGAAATTTAGCGCATTCTTTATCAATTCAAAATTATTATGTAAAATCATCATTTGTATGGCAACAAATAATGCATGGAGAACACAAAATGAAATTGCGTAAATAGTACACTTAACAATTTCCGTTACGTCTTACACAACATTAACTGCAATTGCATAAAAATGAGGAGAAGAAAACAAGAGGAATAAGAAGCAGAAAAAAAAAAAAAAACCCAACCAAACAACTTTGAGAATAACGACACATACACATGTCGTACAAGTCGTTGTGCAACAAATCAAAATCAAAATCAGTCGGTGCTAAGTGTATTGGCATAAGAGCGTAACGTGCACAACAACAATAATGTTAAATACAAGCACATGTATATACTTATATGCTTGCATACACCTAAATATATACTTTTATATCTTTAAATACATATATATGTATATATATTTGTAGCATGTGAGGATTTAAATGTTCATCAGTTCATAATGATGATACTTAAGAGGAAAAATATTTTCAAAATTGAATGCAACTATTGTATAAAAATGACGATGATGATGTCGTAGATTACGTGCTCTCTGTCTAAGTGCGTGCATAGCGTTGTATGTGGTCGCATGAGTTTGTTTGTATGTGTGTATACATGTGTGTGTGTGTGTGTGTGTGTGTGTGTGTGTGTGTGTGTGTGTGTGTGTGTGTGTGTGTGCGTGTGTATGCATGTGGATGGATGGAAGCAGAAAAGCGCTTAGAGAAAATGAAAAATAAAAAAAGGAAAGGAAAAAAAAAAAAAAAAAAAAAAAAAAAAATAAATAAAAAAAAACAAAAAAAAAAAAAAAATACTGAAAAAAAAATATAAAAACATTGCAGCAATTTGCTATGAAAATAAAGGAGGTTAAAGAAATTAAAAGAAAAAAGGATGAAAATAAAACGTGCATAGAAGGATACGTGTGCTTAGGAATGAATGATTGAAGTAGCTGTGGGTGATTTTTGAAAGCGTCTTCCTTTTATGTGTTCATTTCTGTGCCTCTTTTGAAAAAGTAAAAAACATACATACAAACTGTATTTGTTTGTACGTGTGAATCTTAGATACTCAGCAATGTGATTAAAAATATTTTGTGTGCCATAGTAGAGCACAAATATGGATGATAGATGCGACATATATATGAGATATAAAAATAAAATAAAATAAAATTTTTATATCAATTATATTTACCTTTAAATTGATTTTCTCGGTGCATTTCTAATGTCTAGAAAATACATCAATATTACTGAAGAACGGTTTCATTAAGCAAACCCAATTTCAGAGTGGTGTTCGTATGCTTACAAATAATCTCGAAATAGCACTTAAGCTAAGGTAGCTAGAAAAATTTCAAATTTTCTACGGAAATGACGGACGATTCGAAAAACAATTGAGCGCAGAATAATTCATACAATTATCTATGGTAAAGATCGAGGGAGTTGAAAGTTTATCTTTTTTAATATTATGTCGCGTCTAGAAATATTGTAAGAATTCTTTAAGATGCTAAAATCAACAACGATTGACCAGGCATTTTTCATTGGCCTATGCAGTTCCCGATTGCAAAACAAATGAAATCTGTTCATCAAATTTTATATAATTAATTAAATAATAGGAAAAATGCAGGTTTTAACAACTCTTTGTCAAAAACTTACAACTTGACGTCGATTGAGTTGAAAGTCGATATAAATGGCAACGTACTTATCCACGAACGGCGATATATGACTTTGAATATGGAGCAATGTACTTTCAGAAAAAATCTGTTAATAAGAACCATCTATTTTGAATGCGAATCCGTCCGAATACTATAACATTATTCTTAAAATATCTAAGCGTCGCAGTTTAATTACGTCGAACATAAGAAGTCCATTATAAGAATGGTCGAGTATAGGTCTTTAGTTATTGACGAATTGACTTAAATTAAAATATCGTTTACATTTGGTCAGCGTTTGTAAGTCTCGCGTTTTGCAATAGTAAGCACAGTAAGGGAAAAGAACTTAGAGATTCATGAAGAGTAAGAAAACATTTAGAGAAATATTTGCACTTCTTTCTTTTTGCAGTCTCTCTTACGCGCGCTCTCTCTCTCTCTCTCTCTCCCTTGCTCTTTATTTCTCTCGGCCGTTTTCCTACTCTCTCTTGTCCCATTTCTAGCTCTCTTCTTGTTTTTATTTATTTTATTGACGAAAAAAAAACCTCGTAAAGCGTTACCGTACATTTTAGTTCAACATCAGCGCGCAGTGCTTTGTCTGCGTCCGTCCACACTTGTTTAGACCAGTCACATCGCATTAACCACAAAAACAGTAAAAATTTTGCAAAGATAGCTAACTAACTATCCAAAGTTTTTTATTTTTTTTTTTAATAATAAGTAAGAATTTTTTTTAGTTCTTTTTTTAAGTTTCCCTTTTGAAAAACACAAGAGTGTAAAGGCAAAAAAAAAAAAAAAAGAAAAAAAAAAGAAAAGAAAATATGAAGAGAAAGAAAATAAATTGCAATACATTATATATAAACAGTTATATGTACCGAGTATGCATTAAGGTATGCATGAAATTTTGTTGAAATTATTGTTAATCATACGCCCTACTCACTTGTTCATATAGCTTAGAATTTCGAATAAACAAAAGCAAAAAAATTGATTGTCGCAAAAGCAAGGAGAAACCAAAAAAAAATTACTGTTTCAGAGCGATTGCGGGGCGGAGTACGTGAGTAGAACGTACAGTGTATTCGTTGTGTGTTTGTGAGACTAGTGCGTGTATGCGCGTTTTTTAAGTGTTGATAGATAAGTAAGGATTGTGTACGTCTTTCACGGTATTATGTTAATATATATATAACGCATTTCTAATTTTTATTATATTATTTATCTTAGTGTGTGCAGCTATCACGTTTTCTTGTCCATGCACTGAGGGAAATATGAATGTACGGGCGTGTGTGTGTGTATACATATCATTTTAAACTTTTAGTTAAATTCGTGTGTATACTCTCTTCACACCCTCTCTCTCTCTCTCTCTCTCTCTCTCTTTCTTTCTATCTCTTTCACTCTCTCACTCTCTCACTCTCTCTCTCTTTCTCTTTATCACTTTCTCTTTCTCTCTCTATATCTCTCCATCACTTAGTTAGATTAAGCGAAATTTAAGCAAAAATCTTTGAACGCCGAAAAAAAACTCATACACACCAAGAAAATAAGGAGAACAAATGAATTTGAAACTTTAGCTGCAAAATGAAAATATCAACAAACTATTCTCGATGAAACAAAGGTAAGTGCACGCACGATACGCGAAAAAATAATAATAAAAAAAAGAACAAAAGGCAAGAAGACCGTTCTCTGTGTTCGTTCTAGTTAGAAAACAAGAAAAGATTAAATAAATACAAATATATTCCTGTACATATAAGCTTTCCACGGTTCTGGGTAAAAAGGTGCTCTTTTGTAAGTTGAATGCAAACTTTTCGAATGTTATATAAGGTACCTGGAAAATGGTTCATGGATCAAGGTTAATAGAAAGCATTTGATAACAGACTAGAATACAATTAAATAATTTTACTGGAAAATTTTTGTCTTTCAATTACAACATGCTATGAAATTAGAATTTCACGGTTTGGTGCATTTCGATTGAAATTTTTTCTTTTCGTTTTGCTTCAATCTAACATGAGGATATGATATCGTTCAGTTAAAGTTGATGTCAGCACGGGCAGGGACAATGGCTAATCAAACATGTTAGGGATGTGTTGTAAAAGTGTACTAAATTTGTAGCCTTATGCTGCCGCTTTTACGAAATTTTATATATATATATAAATTAAAAAGAATATTCGATGGTCTAGGGGAACCGTCTGATATTTTTCCCTACTCTATATAACTTGTTGTAAGATTGTATTGAGCTTGTGCGGTAGTATCTTTGACTTAGAATCCTTTTCAGAATCGATTTAAGCATCTCTGTCAGTCGGTTTTCCTGAGAGTTTTTTTTTTTTTTTTTTGCTTCAGTGCGATTGCTATTGAGAACGGGTTTTTCTCACATTTTTATTAGCCACTATGTAGCATGTACCCTCTCTCAGGTCAATATAATATTTACTCTTCGTTAACACTCCGTTCGGGATACAATTGGTTTTCAATTGAAAGACGAGTTGTGATAAGTACTTACTTCTCGATAACAACAATAAATACCAGTGGATGGAGGAAGAAAAATAGCTTTTCTTAATAACAGAAAAGGCCGTTCAATTTTGAAAAAAATAATTATCGGTTTGCTGAGATCAAAGGTGAAATTTTACCATTCAAGTCAAATCTCTCCAAACCCAAGGTGTAACTCTTGTCCTTTTACACTTTTTCTTGGGTTTCTCGTTGTGTGGCGATACGGAAGCTGAATTTGGATTCTGCGGCAGATCGCAGGAGAACCAAAGGTGATCTGCAATTCACGCATTAACCAATAAATTATCCGCAATCTATTCACAATTGTCTCTCTTGCTTCTTTTGCTTATCAGATAAAACCTTTGGCACTCGTCTTACCTATTTTCACGTTTGACGTCGGCGTTCACTTCTTAGCTCCTTCTAAAATCTGTTTGGTAAGACTGTGATTTAATTCAAATATTCTTCACCTAGAGTGCTGCGGAATGCAGATCATATTTCATATATCATGACAGCAAATGTAGGTTTTTTGATTCAATTCGTCATCGTACCTAATTCGAACAAGTCGGCACGTTTCCAACATTTGGCCAAATTCACGTAGAAGTCCATTTTAATAACTTATCTTATTTTCGCCGTCGTCTTTTTATCTTGCATATAATTTTTTTTTTTTTTTTTTTTTGTATATTTGTGATAGCAATTTTAGTGGGGGGTGTTAGCGATTTTAAATTTGATTCGATAGGTTTGCCGGTAGCTTCTTTAATCAATGTCTTTATATTGCAGTATTCCCGCAATTATTCTGGTACTTTCTATGCCTCGTTTTGCCAAGAAGTTTCATCTCCTTTTCACACATGTGTGCTGCCCTTTTGTAAGATATCCGAGGCCTTCTTAAATTGTACGAAGTGAACAATTTGCATTTTATCTGTTTGCTGCTTTCTCTATTTCGTTACTTGGTTAACCTTTGTTAATGAACCTGTCCGCGTCTCTTTCGCTACCTTAGGCTTTATGAATGGTCGTAACGCTTTTTCTTCTTCTAACAACGTTCTAATATGTTTTTGACAATAATGCTACTTTTTATTTTCACCGTGTTTTGCTTGATAAATTCGTGAGAATATCTTTAGAGCATCGTAACGCAGCTACGCAATTTAATCTCTTCGGCTAATATGAACTTTTCGATTCTGCATTCGATTACACATTTATTTGCTTTACGTAACGCACTAAATATATTTTTGTGGATTTCAGTTTACTCGACTTAGACATAACATTCGGTCTTTCCCCTACGCCTTCCGATATCCGATATCGATTTTAGCGTGGAAATACAAAGTGAAATCATATCCGGTCGATTCGATCTATAAGAAAGCGTCATTGTGCAAGCACGCTATCCGTGATTGCTTTAAGCGGTAACGTAAATATTCTTTGCTCATTGAACCAGGATTGCCTGTACGAATAAATAAAGGCTTTCAACGCTATTGACTGCTGATTTCTTATGTATAGACATGTGTCCAACATATTCGCATAAATATGTACATATGTTTTGATTAAAGGATTTAGCAATTCTCTTATCTTCCAAAGTTTCGTCTTTCCAGATTCGTTATTAACGATTTTTTACTTTGACAAAACAGGTCTGTGTTAATCACAATAATTTCGTTCGAATTCTCCATTATATCGCCATTAAAGCAATTAAGGAGAACATTAAACGAATATTCTTCGTTATCTTCAGTAATGAATCGATAAAATACGACCGTGCTTGTCTATTTTCTGTCCAGATTTTTAGAGAAATTTAATTTCATTCCTGCATGTAGACGGCTGATCTTTGATGAATACGAGTACATTTTTGATGGCACATGTACGGACGTGCTTTTCAGATGGCCTACCACAAAGTCAGTGTACCCTATACGTGTAGCAGCGGAATTATTAATCATCATTTATATTATTTCGATTACCCTTAAAACGCTTACAGCACTTGTTAATTTTGTTACGGTATAAAGACTTATTAGCAATAGCACAATAAAAGTTTTTAAAAACTTACGAGCGAATATCGTGTTAGCTCGTTGTTTCGATATTCAATTATCGCATTGATGCAATAAACTGGTTTTTACAACTTCGACTGCTATGCGCCGCGTTTGACAGGACGCTCTTAAAGGATGCACTTACTCCATTCAGCTAATCGTGCCTTGAAGAAGTTCTCTTTAATTTGGAATGCATCGTGCATATATGTACGTACCTTTAACAATTCTCGAAGGGTGCACGAAGAATCTCATAAATAATTATTAAAATTCAAAACTATATTTCTCCTTATTCATGTGCAGTACTTTAGTAATTATAGGCTAACGTTTGACTTTTTGGGTTTTTTTTTTAGCATTTTTGTACTCATACCAACAGCAGTGACAAGGAATAACGTGAGATATAAGCTTTTGCTTCTACATGGAATTGCGTGAGAGGCCTTCAGGCGTGACAGGATAGGTCATAGGGGAGATATAGAAGGATGCATCGACTGTGTGGTTTGTCATAACAGGTCTGCTTTAAAAATGTTTGATAAATTTAAGTATATTCCCTGCGTTAGGTGCAAAAATAACTAGAACTAAAAAAAAATTGTAAGCTCAGCAAAAATTTATTACATTAATATATATATGTATATATATATATACATATATATACTTTTTTTTCAAGGTTCATTTTGAAAAACAAACTAACAACCAGCATATTGCTCGCAAATTTTGCAGTTTTGCAATGCTGCTAAGAAATGTTTGATCTCTTCCTTCTTCCTACTTTCCAAATTTTGTTTTTCTTTTTCGTCTTCTTTTCTTTTTTTTTTTTTTTTTTTTTTGTATATTGCGAGTGGGTATTGCAACGCGATAAATATACGTGTAGAATGTTGGATGAGATTAGATTTTAAATTTTTAATGCAATTCGATGGTCTCTGTGCAATCATCTATATTGTAGTAAATTTCTCTGCGCTAAGAGCAGCGTAGGCAACAAAGAAATCTGTACACACTGTACGGCGCATCGCTGGCCGCCGTTTAAATCGAAAGTACTTGCCAACGTGTTTGAACAATGATATACACATACTTTCGCGTGTACTGCACGAAGCGAAGTTTAATGAAACATTGGGTTTTCAATTACAATCCAAAACTTGTGTGAGTCATCCGATACGTTTAGGTATTAATGAGTAATGTCTTAGTGGCGATGAGTAAAGAAAAAAAACATGAAAAAGAATAGATAAATTGCTAGGATCTTTGTTGACTATCTCCTATATGTTAAATGTCGTGTTAGCTCATGACGGATATACACAGTAAAATATTATGTTTTCGGGTGCAACATCAATTAAGCGATATTCGCACTAGATTGTAAGAATGAACTTATAAAGTTATGCACGTACCCTCACTACAATCTAAGTGGAAACAATTTTGCATTGCATTTAACAAAGCATGATAGTAAACCTCCATAGCACTTAAATCACTTCATTTTGTTTTTTTTATTTTCAACGTTTCTAAGTGAAATCTCTTCTGGCGTGCCGAATTATGATGATTGGGGAAGCGACATCTTGCAAAGTGCAGCAGAGCCTGTAAAAAAAAAAAACATAAAAAACTCCTTTGTTTAAAAGTGCTGCAGATAGATTGTTGAGCATCTGAAAAAAAAGGAAGTAAATAAGTAAATGAGGACTGTTTATCATTCCTCTTTGTTGCCTAAAATTTTTATTTACATTATATGCACTTGAATTCTAATTTTGAAGAATAAATTGAAAATGAATGACTTTTGAAGTCTCCACAAAAAATGTTCGACCAACTCGCTTTGCGTTGCATTTCATAGATAACTCTTAAGGCACTTTACACAACCTTAAAGAACGAATCCTTGCCTGATTGCAGTTTACCTTAATCATATCGATTTACAAAGTTCCAGTTTTCATGACTTTACATTACAGACGAAAACTTCAGCACTTATATTCGTAAAGATCTTTGTTAGTTATGCGCTTGCAACTTGGACGATGGAGACTATCTACAACTATTTGCATTATGTGTGGTTCCATGTAAAACGAAGAGAAGCTCAAGATAGATTCACTTCTCATTACAGCGGCCGATCCGCATATATTTTCTGAATTGATTTAAGCTTCAACTCCGCTCATAGTCTCCGTCCATGCATATTTGTATTCAGCTTGCAGGTCTGCAAGCGTGCAGGTTTGATGAAATTTGTTGTTTGGCTCAAGAGTAAGCCCTGTAGAGAGAGAGAGAGAGTAGTATAAAGTGGCCGAAGCGGTAAGTGTTATGCCTTTACCGACTGAACCACTTAGTATAGTTATGATCAAACAGGTTCAAATCCTTAAGTATGATTCAAGTCAGTTCACGTTTTAGCTTTCCATACCGTATAAGGACATGCACGAACATGCACGATGTCTTCGCAGCGGATAATTTTAAATATTTTATTAGTAGGAGTAAGTGAAATATTGTATTACGCGAATTGCAGAGTGCAGAGTATATAATGACGTCCTTACGCGACAATAACGAAACTCGATTTTTGTTAGGTTTTTAAGCATTTTTCCGATGTGTACTTTTACTTACATATTTATAAGTCCAGAATTTACGTTTACGTTATATATGTACAATGCTGAGGGCACAGAAATATGTTTTGTGGTTATGTAAATAATAATATTAATTATTTTGAAACGAATTTGCGTTTTATTTAATTGTGTTTCGTACAAACACCTTGTTGTCGCCTTTCTATCATAAAACTTTCAACAAAATCGTTTCAAGGAAATAAAACTATTTCTCCGACTAGCGCTAACCGATTAGCTGTCGAAAAAATCATTAAAGAAATATTTCTTCTTGCTCTATAGCTGATTGTTGTCATTGTATCAGTGCCTGCTAACCAAAAACTAGAACGTATTTGAAACTTTTTACCATAAGTAACGTATAAGTTTTGTAATTTAAAATGAAACTTGTGAAAATCTACAAAATATTGCTGAGAACTTTTCCTTTGAGTTGATTTTGCAAACAAAATAGATTAAAAATCCTTGTTTGACATTTTCACATGAAAAGCCAGTGGTAAGCAGAATGAAAATAAAAAATAACAACATATACAAACGACGTAAATATCTGGATTATTAAAAATGAAAAAAAAAAAAAAAATAGAAAAAAGGAAACAATTTGGACGGAAAACACATATGAAAATAGATTGTAAAGTAGAAAATGGATAAACTGCGAAAATTCAAATTTCGAAACTTGTAGAGAAAGTTAGACAAGCATTTACGTCAAAAGTATGACTAAGAAGTGCACTTAGGCGTCTAAGAGACGATGTTTTATAAAATTGCTGCTAAACTATTTAATATAATATAAAAGGAAGAAAGGAGAGAGAAAAGGAGAGAAAAGACAAATGTCGGCGTAATCGAATCATTTAACGGTTAGTGTGTCATCGAATTTCAACTCTTTTAATATTTAAAGATGGCTACAAGCATCGGACTTGATTTGAGTATAAGAAACCTATCGTCGCGTCCCTCTCTAATAGGGGTATTTCGCTAAGAATTCCATTCATTAAGCTTAGCTTTCAGCGATTCGCAGCAGTCGTTTGTTGGAGGGCATGGCGGGTACCGGGATCACAGTTCAACAGCACGCAATTTTTTGTATTTGTTTCAGAAAAAGACATAACGCGTAAAAACTCCACGTATTGTTCTATAATTGCAAATATAATTGAGTTAAATTGTTCACTTCGTGTTCGCACATCTATGGGCTTAAGAGCGCTGGGAAACGTATAGGTGTAGAAATCGTCGCTATACATCCGTTTTATTTTCTTTATTATCTGTCTTTGAAAAAGGCGTTGATTTCAGAATGTTTGTGCATTTTATTCAAAGTCCATCGCTCGCCCCTATTGGCAGAAGTAGTAGATCTTGATTGGTGAAGTGATCTTTTAAAGCTATGCACAAAAGAATCCATTTTTGATTGTTATTGTAAGGAAATAAGTTCTCTTCGATGGGACCAGTAGATCGTGAATGAAACAAAAAGCAGAAATGTTTGTTCCCGCGAGAAAGCGGTAGAGAATAGACGGGGCCGGTACTTAACTTTGCTGTCGCTTAAATAATTTATGATACAAAAGATGAGTTTTTACAATGTTTACTTTCATGCTGAACATAGGAATTTGTTTACTAACAATTAGAGACGTTGTTGACGTTACGCAACAATCATGCAGGTCGATACAATCGATTTTGGAAGCCCAGGGGTGGGCTTTCAATGCGTTCGGCGTTTATTGATTTTCCGACAGCGCATAAGTTTGCCGAGAAATTCACATGAAATTCTTTACTTTCACACCTGCTCTAGTTTGGTAGTAAACAAGCGCATTGCACTAATTGCTAAAGAGATTGGTGTGAACTTTGACACAAAAGTTAGGTCGAAAGAAAAGGAATTTTCCTTATTTTCTTAGCTTAAATTGTTCGTGTAAATATGAGTTAATGCGTTATATGAATTTTAATGTTTCTTAATAAATACAGATATGTTTATATGTACATTAATACATATAAATATATAAATATACATATACATACACCTGGGTGTATGCGATTGCGTTTGCATAAGTAACTACGGATAAGGGTTATAAAATGCCTTCAAGTTTTCTTCGGGTTATTTATTTTATTCATTTATTTACACTTATCCTTCCTTATGCTTTGCATTTCTTTTGTTCTTTTCGGAACTAACTAGGCGAGTACGCACACAAACGTACGTTTATGCGGAATGATAATTGCACGAATATATATTTGTTTTGTTCTCATTTTAATTAATTTGTTTGCGTTTTATTTGTTCTGAACAAAATGTTTCATTTTCCTTTGTGTTCTGCAATCATCATCGGACAGAGGTTAATTAATTTAATCACACCATTTGCCATTGTTTGCTAAACAAATCTGCAAAACATATATATATAAAATTTTTGTTAAATTTTCAAATATCTAGATGACAATTTAATTAATTACAAATTTATGAAATACATATCTAACACAATCCAAGAGAGGCTTTTGATGTATACTTTTAGTAAGTTTATCACCCTCTGCTTAGGTATTAAAAGAATAGCTTTAAGGTCGTAAGGAAGACGTATGAATTTTTAATATCATATAAGTGTCTGTACTCGTTTGACTTCTGGGCCATTAAGTATCAAACAAACAAGAAGAAGAAAAAAAGAAAAGATATAAAGTAACATCTCACACGATAAGGACATCGCTACTCTTCTGATTCTCAAAATAGTGGAAAATTCTGAATTTCGTATGTAATATTAAACTAAAACAACTTTAACTTCAAGGTCAAAACTCTATAAAGTTTAGACAGACTTCGTTTGAATGTTCTCCCCATTTAAAAATCATATGAATTCGTTACTAATTATTGATAACTCGTTTTATATATATCTTGAGGCAACGAAAGATTAGAGCTCAAAAAACGAAAGTTGCTTTTGCCCATTGAATTGCTCACTAATGAATAGACTGATTGGTCGTTTATAGAGTATTTATAGAGTACTCAGACATTGTCAAGTATTTATTGAACT